CCTTTTTCGGAGGCCATAGAGGCCGAGACCATCCCGAGGGATCACCGGATTCCCCAAGTCGAACCTTTTGATGGAACTCAGGATCCCAGTCAGCACTTGACGAATTTCCGCGCTCAAATGTTGATTTGTGGAGGAAGTATGGAAGTCCGCTGCAAACTATTCATGGGTACACTCAAAAAAGCAGCACTGGATTGGTTTAGTGGTCTCCCTGACCGATCAATCACCGACTTTGATGTCTTTAGTCGGCTTTTCATGACACAATTCGCCGCTAACAAGAAGAAACCACTGATCACGTCGGACTTGTTCGATCTCAAACAGCAGCGGGAGAAGTCGTTGAAGGACTTTCTGCATATCGGCGAGAGCTACAGTCGGCCTGACATATCGGCGAGAGCTACAGTCGGCCAGACATATCGGCGAGAGCTACAGTCGGCCTGGCATACCGGCGAGAGCTACAATCGGCCTGACATATCGGCGAGAGCTACAGTCGGCCTGACATATCGGTGAGAGCTACAGTCAGCCTGACATATCGGCGAGAGCTACAGTCGAACTGACATATGTAGTAGGCAGGTCGGAATCCGACCTGGACCGTACAATAGGAATGGCACGTTTTTTCTTCTTCTAAATTATGTGTTAGTGTGGATTTGAGTAACTAGTGATCTGATCCTAACAAAAAGTGAAGATACCACGAAACTTTGGAACAGGTTGCTGGCACCAAATCATTTCAATGTTTTCCTTCTCATCTGTTGCATGGAGGGCCGATACTGGAGGGTTGAGTGAAACCTGCATATACAAAGTGAGTGAAACATTTTTAAGAGGAAAAAAAGTTGAAATAGACTTTTTCAAAGATTAAAATTAATACAAGTTAAAATAAGATTTAAAAAAAAAAACTAATAAGAATAAATTTTAGTTTATAAACAAATTTATTTCATTTTTCTTACTTAAAGAAGTGTATTTTGAAAAACTTAGGCAAAAATAGTGATATTTGAAATATTGAATTAAGAGTGGTTACCAAATTTAGCATAAGATATGTGTGCAAGTGTTGAGTATGAATTGAGAAAGAAGTGGTACCTGCTCTAGTAGCACATTAAGATTGCCCTTAGAAACATGGTGAGTCTCACCAAGAGTGGGAGTGTAGGGAGCTACCCCAAAAGATGTAGGGCGTGTGGTAGATATGCTCCATGCTACCACAGAGGTGAACCTCTCCAGTGGACTCTGCCCACTGTTGCATTGGCTCAGCAAGTTGGAAGATGTGCAGTACACCGATTCACCATAGCATTGGAGTTGAGATTTTGGGAAATTAAACACAGGTGGCAGCTGTAAACATTCAATCCATCACTCATACCTAATGCCTACTAAATCTATTAGCTTAATTAACCATACATAATAAAACTATGGTATTTGGATATATTCAACATTTTAAATTGCAGTCTTATTTACAAGATATAGTATGCTTTATTTAAGTAATTTGTTTCTTAGTAAGTAATAGATACAAGAAAAACTTAAATTTGATATTTATTGAGGTTGTGATGAAAAAATAAAATTGGTAGGTGGAATTGGAGGGAAAAAGTAAAGTGAGTGAAAGAGAGAAGTTACCTGGAAGTGTGTGAGATCTGATCCTGGCCTCACATTTTTGAGTAAACTTAACAAACGACGTAGGAGATTAGGGGCTCTATAACTATAAGCTGGTTCTAAATCTGATTCACCCTCCAATGAGAAGGGTTTCGTCAGAACAATTTTACTTTCCTTCTTTCCTTTCGTTGCCTCCATATCGCCCTAACCTAATCACAATCAAACATATTCTGTCATTTTTTTACCCCTAAATTTAGTTATATAAACTAAACAATAATGACTAATTTAAGAATCGTCGTATGTACCAAAAAAAAAAGTTTAAGAATGATGGTTACAAAACAAAATATTTTTTTATTATTATAATTTCAGTTAGAATTTTAAACAAATTTTATTTTTTAAATTAAAAAATATTAAAAAAATTAAAGGGGTAAAATACTTTAATAACCTCAGCTTTTACATGTGAACAATATAAAGATGTCCAATAATGTAAATTTATTAGCTTATTATTATTATTATTATTATATATATATATAGTATTAGACAAGGAGGTCTATCATGTACTTAAAAATTAATATATAAAATGAATTGTTTATATTTTGCTATAGTTATCGATTCTGTAAATCATTTTTGTTTCATTCATAAAAATTGAATTGTAGAATTTAATCATCTATTGTCAGGTAGTAGGCAGTAGTAGTGTGTGACAAAACTAAGAGAATTGATCCTTTTATAATTTCCTTAATTATATTTTGTTTATGTAAATAAGAGATTTTAATTTTAATTCTTCAAAAGAAAAGGTTTGCATTAGTTCTTATAACTTTAAAAAGTCTTGAAAATAATTTCTATATTACTTAGTGATATCATGTCACATATTCATAAACATAAATCATTGGATCGGCGTAATAGTTAATGTTTAGTACTATCATTGTACACCTAAAAAAAATCATTTTTAATATTCTTTTTTACTTCATTTCAATTTTTTTTATCTTTCATTGTTTTAGAAAATAAGGCTTTTGCGGCCTTCTCGCATGGTTTTTGGGCCTTCTCAGTTCTCTCTTTATTGTTTCATCGAAATAAAAAAAAAACTATAAACATAATGTGTTTATATTAGGGGTGAGCATTAAACCGAGACCCGACCGATCCTGAAAAACCCGATAAAAAATATTGCTTTTGGGTGGGTTCGGGTGGGTCTTGTAGATAAATCGGGTTAAAATTTTGATTTTATATAGGTTATATTGGGCGGATTTGGTTTTAAATTTTTAAATCTGCAAACAACCGAACCCAACCGAAAATGAGATAAGTTTAAATTTTTATTACTTTTGTATAACTAAACAACAATGATCTAAACTTAAAAGTCTTTATTTCAAGTATAATATAGTCATCAATTTGTAACTTATTTTTTTTCCTTTTTCTCATAACTTAGATATTTATTTTGTCTTCTCTTTCCTCATTCAACTTCTCAACACACTAGTCTATTTTTAGAGTTATCTTTTTGCTTCTTTCTTTGTTTTTCTTTTCCATCTTCTTATCTCCATTTTGAGTACAACTTGTGCGACTGTGATTTCTTATGGGTTTGTAATTTAACTTTAGATTTCTTTTGCATGTAACAACTATGAATTTTGTTATCTTTTATTTTTGCTTCTTTAGTTTGTAAATGTTTCATCTACGAATCTACTTACACCATCTATTGTCACTTTCATTCTATTTTTATACATTATTTTAAAAATATTTTTTTATCGTTTTAAGCTTCATCTTCATTAAGATAAATTGGTCTACAAAAAAATTCAAACCCGATTGTACCCACCCGCTCAAATCCAAATCCGTTTCAACCCCAACCGCCTCAAATCGAAAGCTCAGTCGGTCGGATATGGGTCACATTTTTTCAAAGTCAGTTTACAATGGGTTGGACATTTTTCACCCGAACCCGACCGAACCCACTCGTTGCTCACCCCTAGTTTATATACTTGTCATTGCATCATTAAATAATAATAAAAGATCATTATAAAAAATGAAGAATAAAACTAACAAAACATTTTTAGAGGACTAAAATGAAATTTTATATATTGATAAGAATTAAAAATATATTTAACTCTTTATAAATTAGTCCCCTTTCCTCTACCAAATTCACAAAATTTGGCACGAAACAATATCCAAACAAATTGGAAGAAAAAAATGTAAGTTTTTTATTTTTATTTTTTATATATGGAATTAATGTGATTCAGATTTGGGGTTATTGCATATAGAACTTAATTAAGCTTGAGGCTTAGGTTTTTCAACAACAATGATGAAAACAAACGAAACATAATCGGATAATGAACCGTGTTGAGTTTTGTATAAAGGCGAACAACATTTCAAAAAAGGTCTCAGAAATTCACTGGCATTAGCGTAATTTTGGCAATAAGCTAAGGATGCTTCTTATCCAACCTTTTTCCTTAGCGTCAATTGAACGATATTTTATTCCGATCACGAGTGAAACGAGAAGCGAAAAAAATAAGGAAAAACATACGAAGATAGAAATAAAAGGAAAATAAAGAAGAAAAAAAAATCAATTTTCTTAATATAAAATTATTTAACTTGAAAAACATTATTAAAAAAAAAAAGGAAAAAGGAGTAGTCATTCCTCCACTCTTGCGCTAATTTGAGAAAGAAATATTTTTAGATTCTATAAGAAAAAACCTTCCTAATTATTTTTTCTTATAAATAAAACGTAAAAATTGAATATTTTATTTTATTTCTTTGTCATCTATTTTGATCAGTTTGGAAGCAGTAAAAGGAAAGAGAGAAAGCAGTTACCCTAAACTAGAGTTGGCGTCAACAATATTGTAAGAAAGGCATTATGCATAGTGGAGTGTGACATTACTATTAGAATATCAACTTTTTCTCGTTTCGTTTTCACGTGGCTTAAGGTGAGCTGCGTGAGCATATAATATTATATTAATTAAATTATTATAGTGCGTGATTCGCTAGCATGTCTGTATACAAAACAAAATATAGAGTGTGCATTCGTAAGAATACCACTTATTGGCAAAACCACCCTCTTAAGTCGCCGGAAAACAGCCATTCAAAAGCTTATAACGAATCAAAACTTATATGAACCAAGAACATGTAGATGTTATTATTAAAACTATGAACTATATGGATCGGGTGCATAGAACACAAGCATGATCACATACATGGAAATAGTTGAGAAACGCAAAGGGCATACCTTATACGATTGTGATCGAGTTGAGCAAGAAGAAGAATTGAAGCAGCAAATTGGAGAGAAGTGAGGTGTGAGACAAATTGTGTATGTACTCTAATCAATAATTATTGCCACTTATTGATTTAGAATAAGGAAATTACAAACTGCGTCATTTGGGCCTAACAATGTGTATATATATATAGTATATGGGTTGCGTTTTCACATTAAATTTTTTACCCATTTTCGAGAAAACTTTTCTCGGTACTTGTAGTCCATGGCATTTGGCTGTATGCAAGGATTCGGAACTTGGGAGTTGGAAGACACAGATTGAATAAATATTCTATAACAATAGCCATAACCTAATGAGTTAGCAATACATTTTCTAACACCTTTTTAAATGTATTTTCTATTATTGAATGAAATTTATTAAAATAATTATTTTCTTAGTCTCCTTTTAACTCTTTATTTAATAAATCAATTGTGATGTTGCTAAAAGAGTATTTTTTGAAAGATGTTAGCATTCCTCTATTATTGTTTATGAACCAAGATATTGCTAATATTGTTATATTGATAAATTGCTCACTAATGCAAAAATGAGATTTTTTGATGCATTTTCTATGTTGGGTGTTATTCACACGACATAGAAAATGATGCGATGAAATACTTATAAATATGTCAAAATATTTTATGACAGTTGCAGACTTACTTGTTATAGAATGTTTTTTTTATGACAAGTCAACACTAGTTATATAATGTGCTCATCAAGCTTTGACTACAACCTTTCTATGACAGGTATTGACATACTTATCAATGAAAGAAATATTTTATGACGGGTAAATCATCATCTGCCATATAATATCTTTTTATTATGTATAGTGAAAGCGTAAACCCAATTCGCACTCTACTGTTTCATCATCTTCTTTATTTAGATGATAAAGACAATTTCGACGACAAGCTTTAGTACACTATTGAGTCAATTTTTGACAACACTAACAATTGTTGAGACGATTTCCAGCAAAACCCTCTGTTCGTTTTTATACTTCTTCTTTTTGTTCTCAATCTTGTGATTGTTCATTCGTTCTCGCACTCCTAGGTCCATCATTCTTGTTCTCTTTGGTGTTATTTGATGTTGTGGGTCTAGTTGGTGTTGTTGTTGAGATGTTGGTATTGTTGGTGATGGTGCCCTGTTTGAGTTTTTTTGTGTATGATTTTTTTGGTTGATGATGTTGTTGGTACTTGGGTGCTAGTTTAGTTTGCTAGTTTGGTGTGGAATTGAGGTTTGGGTGTTTATTTAGTTTAGTTGAATTGAGGATTCCAAAACAATCCCTCATTTAGGCTTTATTATATTTAGTGAATGCTAGGTTTATTAAATTAAAATAATTAAAATACACAAATTGTTAGACAAATTTAAAATAATTAAATTGTTAGGCAATGATAAAGATTTAAATTACAAATTTGATTTCAATTAAATTATTAATAACTAAATGGATACTTTAATAATGTTACTAACTTAATTTTTGTTGTGTTGACATGGTTAATTACATGTGTATATTATATTGTTGATTCTATATATTGGTTTTAACCAAGCATAATTATATGCTTAGTTATCTCAAAGTGTTCTATTATATTTGCTAGGAATGTTGATTGATTGTGAGTGAACCTTAGTTTTTTGTTTGAGATTAAATATATTGATTACACAATTAGTGTTTGTATTGAATCTTCAATTGTCCGTTTGAAAAGATATATATATTTTTATAGTTGATTAATATATATATATATATATATATATATATATATATATGTGTGTGTGTGTGTGTGTGTGTGTGTGTGTGTGTGTGTGTTTCATTTTAAATTTGATGAGATTTTGGTTGACTGTATTTCTGGTTATTATTTGAATTCATACTTGATTGTGGTGAATTTAATGTCACCACTTTCATCTTGTGAACCTAAAGACCTGTGTGAAATGCTGTCAAAAGTTTGTCAAATTTAATGTATGAGACTTTACCTTTACGTATTAATAATGTATAAAGAATTATCTTTTTGAATAGGTAGGGTCACACCTTATATTAAAAAGTGAGGTTGCATGATTTAATGTCATACAAATGCACTAATAGGTCGGAGTTGGATGAATTGTTTATGCACAATTGTTGAATATTAGAATGGAGTGAGAGTTTCTTTAGTTTGCATAAAAGAATGTTACAAACTATAATGGAAGGTTCTATTATCATTGTATGAATTATTTCAATTTGCAAAGCTAATAGACATTATACGAGAGCATGTTTTGTGTGATGGGTTCCTCAAAAGTTACACAGTATGAACATGGCATGATGAATTGTTAAATATGTCACACGTACAAGTGCATCAAACACAAAAAGAACAAGTCAATTTAGAGATGGATGATCAATCGAAGGATATGATCCGTGATGTTGGGGTTGATTCTTTCAAATGCGCACATATGTGTATGATAGTTTGTGCAGTTATGCAAAGAAACCTTTGTATCGAGACTGCTCCAATTTTACATGATTGTTCGCAATGTTAAAATTGTTCAATTTTAAGGCAAAAAATGGATGGACTGATAAAAGCTTCACAAAATTGCTAGAGTTGCTAAGTGAAATGCTTCATGAAGGTAACACTTTGCCGACATGTAATTATGATACAAAGAAGATATTGTGTCTGATGGGTATGAATTATAAAAAAATCCATGCATGACTCAACGATTGCATTTTATACAAAAGAGTTTGGTAGGTTACCTGAGTGTCCACAATGTAAGGTATCATGATACAAACAGAAGGAAAATGACTCTGGAAGTGGGATGAGCAAAGGTCCTTTCACGAAGGTATTGTGATATCTTCTTGTTGTTTCAAGATTAAAGTGATTATTTGCTAATGTCCATGATGCGAAAAACATTAGGTTACACACAAATGAACAAAAGAAAGATGGGCAACTAAGGCATCCGACTAATTTTTTGCAATGGTAGAAAATAGATTCTATGTTTCTAAATTTCGACAATGATTCAAGAAACCTTAGGCTTGGACTTGCTACAAATGGAATGAATCCATAATGTAACCTAAGTAGTAAACATAATTCATGGCCTATCTTGGTAGTGATTTACAACTTACCTTTGTGGTTTTACATGAAGCATAAAAATGTGATGCTATCTATAAGATTTCGAGTCAAAGATAACTAAGAAACAATATTGATGTTTATATAAACCCTTTGGTTGAGGACTTGAGGATGTTATGAAAGGAAAGAGTTAATGTGTTTGACAATTTTTCTAGCGAAACTTTTAAGATGTGTGTCAAGTTGTTTTGCACAATCAATGACTTTTCAACATATGACAACTTAAGTGACTATAGTGTTAAAGGACACAAAGTTTGCCCTATATGTGAAAATGACACATATCATCATCAATTGCATCATGGAAGGAAAGCAATTTACCTTGGGCATCGGAGACTCTTACTCATAATCATCCTTGACATGAAGAAAATAGTTAATGGTCTTCAAGAAAATGAAGTAGGTCCAATGCCCTTAACTAGTGACCAAGTTTATGAACGAGTGCAGTATTTAAGTGTGATACTTGGGAAGAAAGAAGGATAATTAACTGAGAAAAACATATGGAAGAAAAGGTCGGTATTTTTTTATTTGTCATATTGGAAGATGTTTGATGTAAGACATTGTATAGAAGTCATACACGTGGAGAAAAATGTGTGATATAGTGTTATCAGAATGCTTCTTAACATTTAAGGGAGGATAAAAGATGGTGTAAATGTTTGTTTATATTTGGTTTACATGGGTATAAGAGAATAGTTAGTTATGCGGGTTCATGGTAAACAGACATTTTTGCCCCCAGTATGTCATACATTGTCTAAAAAAAGAAAATTTTTTGTAAGTGTTCACGAGATATGAAAGTTCCAAATGGATATTCTTCTAATGTTAATAGGTTTGTCTCAATGAAAAATCTTAAATTACTAGGTTTAAAGTCTTATGATTGTCACGTGTCGATGCAACAGTTAATACTAGTGGTGATTTGTGACATATTAACTGAAAGTATTATAAATGTCATAATTAGATTGTGCTTCTTTTTTAACGCAATTTATAGTAAAGTGATTGATCCTAAAATATTGGATGAGTTAGAGAATGAAACAGTTCTTATATTATGTCAATTGGAGATGTATTTTCCTCCAACATTTTTTGACATTATGGTTCACTTAATTGTGCATTTAGTCAGAAAAGTTAGATTTTGTGGTTCGGTGTTCTTATGATGGACGTACATTGAGTGATACATGAAGATACTAAAACGGTATGTAAAGAACCAACATCATCTAGAAGCATCCATTAATGAAAGATATATTGTAGAGGAAGCTATTGAGTTTTGTACCAAATACTTATCGAAAGTTGAAACTATGGGGTACCTAAGTCTTGTCATCATAGAAGAATTTTTTGTAAAGGTTTACAAAGTGCAAAGATTGTGAGTTACACACGAGAAGAAGTGTTATAGGCACATTTGTATATGTTGAATAACATCGATGAAGTTATACCTTATCTAAGTACTCACAAAGACATTATGAAGAAAAATCATGTACAAATGCCTGAAAAATGGTTGATTAATGAGCATAATAGAACATTCTCAAAATGATTCAAACACCAAATTAAGAATGACAATACAATTTTTGAAACATTGAAATGACTAACTCAGCCTATTTTTGATGTCATATATTGGAGTATGCATGATATCAATAACTACACGCAACATAGAATATGCAATTTCTATGATGCATGTTATTACACCCGTCATAGAATATGGGTGTTAATGTGATTACATCATCACATTTGATACTCATACTTTGATGGACATTGTTCACCCGATATAAAAAGTATAATATTTTGTTACATGATCAATGTCAATCATAGAATATTTTGACATTCTATATTATCTGAATCTATACCACATCTTAAGATAATATAGAATGTAAAAAAAAAATAACCAATATAGAATATCCTTACACAATAGTAACTAAAGAGTAGTGTTTAACATCTATAACAATATTCGTGACCAATCTAAATTCGGAGAAATTATACCACCGTAAGGAATTGTTAATTTCATTAGTAAACCATAAAATTTGTTTCATAAGGAGACAAGTGAAATTAGTTGCTCACCAATTAATTAGAGCATCAAATTTTTGTGCTAATCGCCATTATTTTAAACAGTAACCGCCTAGTATTGCTGCCCAAGTTTATAAGGAAATAAAATAAGTAAATTGCTATA